AAAATTAAAGCTGAGATCCTTGTAACTCTAATTTAGTTGGAACTTGATGCTTCGTCCTAAATCTTGCAGTGCATCAGGGTAGTTTGCAACATTGAACTAACACAATATCAAGAAATTTTCAGTATCAGAGCAGAGGAAAATAAGAAAATATTAAGTATGTTCATTTTGGCAGAGTTTGGCAGAGCCTAGTCATACAGATAGTTACTGCGTAATACTATTCACGTATTTCATACTAGTGAGGTCAATGAAACTCCCAACATACGTAAAGATATCTTTAAGTATTTGCAGGATGAGGCCCTTGGCTTGCAGTAGGGCTTGACAAGCAGCACAGGTTACACTGGGTGGACAGGAATGCTTTATTTTAAGCAAGGCGGCACACCCAGTTTCAGCTCTGCGTCACCCACTGCCAATCAGTGCATGGCTCGTTTATCAGTTAAAACCCCTACCTCATGCATCATAGTTCCATTAAATGCAAATACCTCTTTTGATTGTTTGCCAAGCATTTGTGCAGTCATGATTGTGTGTATGTCACACTAGATTTCTGAAATTAACAGTAATTAATTTTTAAGTATTGTAGGTGCTGCCTGGCATCCAAATTAGTTACTTGCTGCTTTTAAATATGGGGACTACATTTTCCCCTTTATCCTCCTTTGATAGCTGCTGTCTTAAAAACTGTTATCCCTCTATGAAGGTGGACCGTATATTGCATTCTTTCTGTCTAAGCACAATGCCTTATATGTTCTCTATAATGCACAGGGGATTGGGGAATCAGAATGCAGTGTTCATAATCTTGCTCAAAAATGAGTTGTTGCCCCCTCAAGCCATGTCAAGTCCTTTGGTACTCCAGATGTGTCTATCCACCGGGCAAAGATTGCCTTAAAGTACCAGTTCAAAATGTTCTCATGGACTTGTAGCATCTACTTCCAAGAGAGCACATGCCACTGTCAATAACCCTCTTCACTGGCACATTTGTATGAAATTCACACAAACCTGAGGAAATAATAACCCCACCAAACTCCTTATCTGGTGTTAGGCTACCCAGTAAACCTTTTGTTGTTCAAAGAGACATTAAGACCATGACAAAATTAGCTGTAAATTGTGGTTCAGTATTTGGAGCTAAATTATTTCTGAATCCATTGTTCTTTTAGAAAAATTGTGACAGCATTTAAGAGCTTGGATTATGTAATTTTAATGTATGTGAGGCAAAAGAAGGTAATTATTCGTGTCCAGTATAGTGCTCTGGAGTTTTTATGAAAAACATTCAATTAAAAGCTCTTGATTTCACTGAATTGCTTTCAAGTTTGAACTTTTTAGGAAACATTTCAAGTTTGGTTAACAAATTCAAATTCAGATTACCATGGCAGAGATCAATCATATGGGTGTTATTTTGTACACTAGTATTCATAAAAGAATTTAAATTACTTATAACATTTTTCATATTGATGATATTCAAAATATTATAAACATGTTAAGTTTTGGCAGTGAAATGACTCCTTAATTTACTTATATTGCCTTTGTGCATTTGACACTGGTAATTCTTTCCTTAGTTTGGATACCAGGACTTGTTTGACTGAAGCACGTACTCTTAAGTATCCAAGATATTAGTTATCCTATTCTATAGAGTTATACTATGTGCCAAGTGAAACATGCCAAGTAACTTTGATAAAGATGAGAGATAGGAGGAAGGTGACACAGTCTTTCCTAGATCTGTACTTTGTGCAAGCCCAGGTCTGTTTCCTGACCTGAAACGTGACTGTTCTTTTGGCCAGCAGATCCAAATATTAGCTTGTTGTGGACCATTATCAAGATAAATTGTGAGTTAGAGGGACAAAGTCTTAAACCTGGCTATTTTCAGTTCTGCCCATTAGGTTCAAAATTAATTATGTCAAAGGGAACTATGACAAGTCTAAACACACAATGGAAATGATGTGTTTGACTTTTGTAGCTCTTTTTATTCTTAGTCATGTTTAATATCCAACAGGCATGGATCTATTTGCTCTATGTATTTCCTTCATTCACACTCACTAGATCCAAAATAAATATTTACAGTCAGAAAATCTGGAAGGACTGAAATTGAAATCTGGGCTTATCTCCAAAGCAGATATTCTTAAATTTCGAAGTATCTGCTTTGCAACTAAATTCATGCAACTAGTCACTTATTTACCAATGGCTGATCAGATTTTAATTTCCTTGGATGTCATGAGAATTTAAAATAGTTATATTATTAATGTAAAAATACATTAAATATAGAAACTTGCATACATTTTAGGGGTACAAGAGGTATAACTACTCACTAATTTCTTCTTGTCTCTACACTCCTCTATATCCTAAACATCCCTGATAGAGGAATGAGGAATCTTCACTTTCCTACTTTTAAATCCTTCTGGAATAATATACTTTCCCTCTAAGTAAGAATTAGGTAGAAGCCCAAATGGAATACATCAGTGTTATTGTTATTAAACAATGCTAGGCTCTGCATAGGCAATGTTGAAAGCACACATCATGTTTTATGATTTCAGAGTCTGTGTGATCTCATGTTCTTACCAAAAATAACTTTATAGCTCACATAAATAGCATATAGTACAATTCTAAAGCATGTGTCATATGGCCCTGTCCTCTGGTAAGGATATATATAAAAAGAAAACCACATTAACTTCCTGATTCTTTAGTTTATCACTGATATACAACTAAGCAGAAAAATACAGAATGGAATGTTTGACATATATAGTTTATGAAGCAATAAAACCACTTGTGTCTTGGCAGAAAATATCTATATAAATTGCAGTTACACTCCGAAAATGTGATTCTAAAAAATGTCAGGACAGAGTTCAGAGTTCTGTGTTTACTTTCTTGAATTGGTGCAGTAGCAAATGTATTCAGTTTACATGTAAAATTAGTGTACTTTTCTAATTGCCTGTCCTGCAGACTGAGAATCAAGGTATATTCTTTGCAATACATGCATCACTACTCATAACATATGTCCTTCAGTTGGAATATAATCAATGATTTTACTGATGGTGTGTAAAGTAGAGTAGCATCCAGCCAGTGCTGTAGCAAGGAAGGGGCGAGCAGGGCGACTGCCCTGGGCACCAAAGCGAAGGGGTGCCAACGGGCACTACCCAGCCAGGGCAGGGCATGAGATGGAGTCAGGAGTGGCTCATTTGGAGAGGGAGGGGCACGGGGATGAGGGAAGGGTGGCTCCTGCCATTGCATGCACTTCTGGGCAAGCATTGGGGGGCTTGTTGCCCCTTGGATCTGTGTGTGGGGTGAGGGTGGACTGCCACTGCGGGCTTTGCCCTGGGCACCAAACGTCATTCCTACGGCACTGCATCCAGCCCACTGAGTTGTGTGAACTCTGCAGAGATAACAGGAATATGGCTTTGTACAAATGGAACCAAACTATACCTTGCTGCAAAAGAAAAAAAGTATGTGTGTTATAGGAGAAGGGAAGTCCTAGAGATAGGAAAATACAACAGGGCTTCCCCATCATGGGTTTTTTGCTGAAGTCATTGTCAGATTGTGTTTGTTCCCCATTGCAGATGCATGAAAATATACAACACTACACTAGCTACTCTAGATCCCATGCTCCTGTCCACCAGCACTCTAGCAGCTTGATTTCTAGTATAGCCAGCTTGTCCATGAATTTTCCATAGGCAGCAGCTAAGGGACTCTGTACAGAAGGGAAATTGTACAACATGGTGGGTTCTATCAACAGATAATAAAATCTTGATCATGGGCTCCATCTAGGGCTTGAGGAGCCAGACCTGTACATAGCCTTGCCATGCTTTCATCATGGAGATAAAAGTACAGTACAGCAGTGCCAGGGGGAGCACATCCAGTACGCCAACAGAGAGAGTACTGCATCGGGCCAGCCCTGTCTCCTTGTTCTTTCCACAGCCATGTTAGTGCTAGTACCCACAAAAAACTGTTTTTGCACTGAAGGACTTGCACAGGACTATATTGGTGGCTGGCACTGACATGGAAGGAAGTCTTTTTGCTCCATCATTTTCCTTTGCATGGAGTTTAATGTCACTGCAGTTTCCTCATTCTAGCCTTTTGTGTTCTTGTGTCTTTTGAGTTGGGGCTAATCAAAAGCCCACTGAAATCAATGAAAGACTTCAGGGAATTTGGGATCAGGATAATCTAAAAGGTTTCCCACATGTGGTGTTTTTAAAGGGGATTTTAATGATGTCATGGGGCGTGTCCAGGCAAGCACGGACATGTGGTATATGGCACCACAGACCCGTCTGCAGCCCCACGCACCACACATGCAGGTGTTCCCCATGCTGCTACTTTGCAGCATGGAGGGGTTTTTTTTACCCCAGGGTCAAAAAAACCCATGCCAAAACAAAAGCGGGGCAGTGCACATGGCAGCACACACCGCCCAAAACCGGAGCCTGCTGGCTGGAATCATGCTCTAGCTGCTGGCCAGGCCTCCTGCTGTAGGAGCTCTGTGCCTGCAGTTCTTGGACGCCCCCAGGTAAGGCTGCTGGGGTCAGCACAGTTGCTGGACCAACCTCCCCTGCCCCACCTGGGGTAACTTGCCACATGCCAGAGAGCACATGGCATGGGCGTTCCCCGGGGATAAGCAGCAAAGGCACAAGATGTGCCGCTGCTACTTGTACCCAGGGAAACCACATGTTTCTGCTTGTCTGGATGTGCCCATGAAGGCTACCTAGCACACAGGAGGGCACTGAAGTCTTGAGATAAAGAGCAACACTATAACCAAGGATCGGAGAAGAATACAAAGGAGGATTGAGAATAGATACTTAGAAGTGGTTGAAGCAGAAGGGAGAGATGATATAGGAAAAGAATGCAGACTTGTATAATGTAAGCAAAGATGCGGAAAGCTTAAGACAAAAAACAGATGCTTCAGGTTGGTAGGAGGAGCAAGAGAAACCCTGCAAAGGAATGCAAAATTTTGAGTAAACAGGCCAGAGTGGATGGAGAGAAAAAGATCTTGGGCAGCTGTAAGAGAAGCAGAAATTATACAGTACAAAATGGAGGAAAAAAGCAAAGCAGGTGGAAAAGTGGTAGCAAAGAAAAGGTTGCGGGACAAGAACATAGATCAGCAGCCACTAGATCAAGAAATGGCTTACATATTGCAATACTATGCCATATCATCAGATATAACAATCCTCCATTCACATTTAACTGCATCTACAGGTGTAAACCAGTATCGAGTTCTCTAGCATTGCAGTTCTCTCTGACCACTTTCTTGTCTGAGAGATCTATCCAGTTGGCCTTGAATGAACAAAAAAGTCTGCTACACATCCCAGTTTTCTCTAACAAAATAAAATTAACTCCATCCACCAGCCTCCTCACCAGTCAATATGTGATAAAGGAGGACACTTACCGTGCACTGAAGTTTTGAATTTCTGGTCCCCATGGTAATTGGTTTCAGTGCAGAAACACATCAGTAACTAAAGAGTAATTAAATTTGACATGTTTTTCAGGCAATCTGGAAAACTATTTTGCTGTAGATGCTTCCACCAGTTTTCCTGGAACTTTACTGGATACTTTGTAAAATGCAAACTTCTCAAACTGCAGTTCGGCTTTCAATTAAACCAGTGTAAATCTGGAGTGGCATTATGAGTACGTCTTCACGACACAAGGCAGTGCCATATGAACAAACCCTATGTCTTAGCTTATAGCGAATATATTTTCTCTATTGCCTGATCAATGGTTCTACATTTGCCAACCTAAGACAGGACTAAATTTCAAACAGGTAAGGACAGCACCATGCACTATCAATATGATGCCTTCTGAAGTGCTGGTATTAGCATGCCTGTGCTTTCTGGATAAATGAATGCCTAAACAGAAATTGTTGGGAATTCTTTGACTTGTCAAAGCTGAGTTGTCAAAAATGAGATTAAGTTTGGAACAGATTTTCTGGTAAAACTAGAGGAGGAATCCACTGGAGACATGAAAGGCTGAGGTCTTTCAGTCCCTGTTCTGGATGATTGGAGAGATTTTTGAGGTCTGTCCCTCCCATTTGCCATTAAAAGTTGTGATGCATCTCAATCTTGTCCCAATGTAGAATACAAAAAAGTTGAAACTCTGAAAATTTTCATGGGATGAGAAAACCTTTTCTTATCCAGCTCTACATAATGTGAGAATGTGAGGAAATTACACAAGGTGACCATGTTCTCCAACCTTTCACTGTTTGGGTTTTTTTTGTCATGATGTAGTTTTTGTGACATCCATCAGGAACTCAGGTGTACGAATCTAGTAGAACTATACTGAGATTGGCATGGTTTTTTGGAGTCACACAAACGTCATTGACAATGGATAAATGAACTTCCTCTAGGGTAATGAGAAAATTATGCCATGACATTTTTTATTTTATTTTACTTTGTTATCAATGGACTCTTTTAAGGTTAAACGATAAAGAATGTTCTTTAATCAAATTGGTTTGTTTCGTGTTTTACACATTATATTTTTTTGTCTTAGATGTAATTACAAGTTGTTGTTGTTCACGCTTTTTGTTGTGCACCGCTGACAAATAATATTTCCCTTAACTCCAGGGCTGTAACCCGCTTGCTGAGACAGGCAGAAGCAAGCTACAAAATCAAAGAGCTATCCTAAACCAACAGATCCTGAAAGCAGTAAGGTTGAGAGCTGGTGCAGAAAATCTTCTAAGGTAGGTTCCCACTGCTCACTTCTGTTCTGTCTGAAACAACAACATGTTCTTTGTTCTTGCTGCCAAAGTGCCCTCCAGTTCCCCATCAGGCTCCTATGTGCTCCTGTACCTTGCAGAACACACTGCAGTTGGATGTAACAACTCAACAATGTTTTTACAACCTCCTTCTATAAAATCATTAACTGTTCCCAAATGTTTTATGGGCCTCCAAGGTGCACTTTGAAAGTCTCTATATTATAGCAACCAGGCATTGGGCTGGGATCTTAAATTACTTTGTTTAAAGACTACTGAAATGGTCCTAATTCCGTTTTGTTGGAATCTTTCATTGGACAGTGATGGTTGTTTGCTTGATTCCTGCCTATAAAGGGAATAGGTGAATATCTTTCTAATCATTGGGTCTGTGTCCCATAGTTAAAGAGGATTCCCCCAGTGCAGTTGAGTGTTAGCAATCAGCTGTCTATGTGGTACATGGCCGATTGCTGCCAGCTGTTGCTGACACTGGATATAGATTTGTGGTATTACCTTTAATTCTTCAAGTTGCATCATGAAAGAAGAGGGTGGGAAGGTGACGTGCCAGCCACTGGGCCACAATATTCAGGCTCTTCTTCTAGGCCTCTCCCTACAGAGAATCTCCAAGAATCTGTGAACACTTTTTAGTCTCCAAGAGCAAGCAGCCAGGGTTTCTTCAGAGAAGTAAAGATTACTCTTGTAATGCTTGCTTCCTTAAAGCTTGACTTTATTTGATTGGCTTCACATTTGCCTGCCACCCACTTTTCTCCTTGACCTTAAGAAGTGACAGCTTCTCAGAGGCAGATCTTTATTAGCATCATGGTCTCACTGACTTCCATGGAACTATGACAGTTTGCAGCAGCGGTACCTCCATGGCTGGCTGTTCTGGTGCTCGCTGTGCTGGATAAGACTGTAGCCTACATTTTGTTGTGAGAGAGAATATTTAGATTTGCTTTTAAAAAAAGCGCACACACTTTTTGTTGAATTGATTTAATTTTATTTGTATTAATGTCTAGGTGGCTTATGTTGGGACTGATTTTCACAAGAGATGAGCACCAACTGAACTTGATTATTTCTGGTCATGCTCATCTTCTCTGAAAGTCAGCCTCGAAGTTGAGCTCCTTATATCAACACCCACTTTTGAAAACGCACTAGTGACTAGCATCTAAGTAAGGAATGCTGAATAGAAGCCAGGTCTGGTATCCAAGGGCAACACTTTATTAAGGGCAAACCACATCTTCAATATCAAATGACATCAAAACTTATTCAGTCAGACTACTAAAACGTATATTGCTTACAGATGCCTCGGGTAAACAAGGTTCTTATAATAAACTGGCTATTGTGGGGTATTAAATAGAGCTGTACAAATCCAAAGTGCTCCTCACAAAGAGAAGAACACATACATTTCAGTTGTGTTTACATTTCTTCATTCAGAAGCAGCAAGCCTGTCCTTTGTTCACAAAGAGCCTCTCTCAAGAAACTTGAAATGCTGGTTCACTTACCACTGGTTGAAACAAAAGTAATCAGATCACATCCTTCAATGAAAAAGACCAAACTTCCCATTACTTCTATAGTCCGGGAGGCTTTGGCTAAGACTGAAACATGATTCCAATCCTGTGGATCTTATGACTATTGTATGGTGCTCAGGGCTCTCCTTCGGATTCTGGCATCATACTTCCCTCAGAATCGAGCAGGCATTGCCTGTTTCTGGTACGTGCAACCTGTGTGCTTTCATATGATCCTACGTGGGTCGTACATGGAACAGGTGGTAATGCTGCTTGAGAGATGGCCTTATGTCTTTCAGCCGCATACATTTTATAATTCTCATGCTTCAGTGTCTGTGCTGAGAGGAGAATGCTGTATGATAAGCTACTTATACAGTAGTTGAATTGGATTTGTGAGGCGTAGGTCTTGCCAGTATAATCCAAATGCTTTATTATGATTTTCATTATAAAACACTGTCTAGATAAGAGGAATGATATACAAAAAAAAATATCTGGAGTTCAGCAAGGTGTTTAACATTTTTCTTTTGTCTTCATGATAAAAATATTGGATAAAAATGAGTCCCAGGATAGTAATCAAAAATGTTCTAAGCAATGGTGGTGTGTAAAGCTGGAGGAGGTGACTATGGAGGGGTCTTTAAGTCTGTTACAGGTGAAGGACTGTTCACAGATCTCTATCCGTATTTAGGATTGACCTTGAGGTTGCCCTCATCCAGTCTGAGCCATGGGAGCCAACCCTCCATATCTGTATCATACCTCTATATGAGGTATGCCTACCTCAACATTATTCACATCATACTTCTTATTTACAAAGTGGAATTATTTCAGAAACTGGTTTGTTAACTATGTGCCTCTCTTTCCTGGCTTGGCTCTACTTAAAGACAGTAGAGAGAGGAAGTCAGGCACAGAGGCTGGATCCAGAGGCTCAGTCCTTCAGAGAGATGCTCTGGCTGCTGGCCAGAGTATTTCCCCTCCTTTAGTTCTGGCCTGGCTCTAGCACACCAGGAGCCAAGAGAAGTGGGGAAAGGGCAGTTTGCCCAAAGCGAGGCATTTTGCCCTGCACTAAAGTGCATGTGCAGAGGTGTGCGCAGCAGCAAAAAGTAGCAGCACAAATTACTGCAACTGCAAGCACACACCTCTGCATATGGGGACGTGCCCAGAGAAGCTAAAGTCAGAAATGGGGTAATGAAGGCTTTCTGCTGGCAGGCTTTCTGTGCCAGAGGACTACAGGGTATAGAAGAGTTCCAGAGTTCAGAAAGGGGAGGGCTAGGAAGCAAGCAGTGATAGGGTTAGTTGATCTTGTTCTTGGAAGCTCAGCAAACAGGGGTTCAGAGTGTAAATAGATCTTGTGTATGAGGTTGATGATGACCTTTAGGTTGACTCCAGTACAGACATAACCACTGTGACTTTGCAGAGGAGGTATAAGTGCAAAACATGAAGGGTAAAACAGTAGCAGCACAGATTTGTGCTGCTACTTTTTGCCACTGTGCATGCCCCCACCCATGTGCTTTGGTGCCTGCCCATGTGACCAGCACAAGGTAAATCGTAAGCCATGGAAAGCAATGGTTGTCTGAACTTACAAGGTACTATGAGCTGGCGATGGGGTTCCCACAGCCCTGCTTTGGGCAAACTGCCCTTTCCCTGCATCTCCCAGCTCCTGGCTTGGAGGCGGGGTGAAACTAAAGGAGGGGAGACACTCTGGCCAATAAAAGTTCACCTGCAGCTGCTGACGTGTCCATTCCCTGCCCATGTGACCAGCACAAGGTAAATCGTAAGCCATGGAAAGCAATGGTTGTCTGAACTTACAAGGTACTATGAGCTGGCGATGGGGTTCCCACATCTCGGCATGGTTCTTCGGTACCCACAACCGATAGAGGAGTCCCTTATCCCAGACCACCTGTTCCCTCTTATCTGGGGTGAACTCTGTCTCTTGCTCCTGAGCCATCTGCTGGAGTTCCTCCAAGCTGGGGTCCTCTAGAACCTCCTGCTTGAACTCCCCTTGCCCGGCTAAGCAATCAGCAGGGAGTTCTGGCGCTCCTGTAAAGAGTGCACCTTCACCCTTGGGGATGTCCTCTAACTTCTCCCCAAGAGTCTCAGTTCCCTCTGCCACTGACTGACCAGACTCCTCCCTGGGGCTGTCACTTAACCCAACCTTGAGGTCACTAGTTTCCTCAATGGCTGGTGGCTGGTCGCAGTCAGAGGGAGTCTGAGTCTCTCCCTTCTCCCCCTCTGCCCCGGTAGCCAAGTGGGTGACCGGGCCCTGGGAAGTTTCTACTCCTCCCATCTCAGCCTTTCTGCTTTGTTGACAAGTCACCACACTAACACAGTAAGGCTCTAGGAGGTGGTCCTCCTCCCTTTGCAGGTATTCTAGCTCCAAAACATCACGTCCCACCAGGATGGGAACAGGAGCCCCTTGCAGCACTCCTAGTTCTATGCACATCCTGCAGCCTCTCCACTCAATGGGGAGACGGGTTACTGGTACGTCGAATGGCTGAGCCCCCCACCCCTTGAGTGGTAAGGGTCCTCCCCGGGACTATATCCACAGGTGAAACAAGGTTGATATTGATTAATGACACACTGGCCCCTGTGTCCAGTTCCCTGACAAGGGTTCTCCCATTTACCATTATATTAGTCCGGTGGGCAGCTGTCACCTCCTCTGGCTTAGTAATCCTGTAGCAACAGGTACATGCCTCAGAGTGGCTCGGGTCTCCCTGCTCACTGTTTACAGCTGTTGCATGTCTTGGGTTTGTTGCTTAGCTTTGGGCAGTTGGGCCTGATGTGGCCCAGCTCCCTGCAGTTATAGCACCCCCTTTTTTTCCGACTTGGGTGGTTTGTCCAAATCTTGGCCCGCCTTGCGCTCAGCAGGAGGTGGCCCTCCCTTCCCCACTTTGTGGAACCCCTTCTGTTCCTTCCCAAAGTAGGAAAGCTTTTGGTTCAGCCCCTGTCTATTTAGCAACAGCTAGTCCGCAATTTTTATAGCTTCCCAGATTGTTTTAGGGCCCCTATCCTTGACAAGAGTTTTAATCTCCCTCGGGCATTTGTAATAGAATTGGTCCAGCACCATAAGCATGTCCACCTCCTCCATGGTGGAAGCTTCAGCTCTCTTCTTCCAGTTCTGGTATGAATTCCATAGCAGGGCCCCAAATTTGTTCATGGTCTTTCCCAGCTGGGAAATTTTTCTTGGAAGTAATCTGGACCTAACTTAAACCTTACATGCACTGCCTCTCTAAAGGTGTTGTAGTTATCTGCTGATTCCGAGGGCAGGCTATTCAGGACAATGGACGTGTTGCCCTCGACCAGAGCAGCATGTGTTTCATGAACTCTTCTTTTGGCAACTTCTATCGGTGTGCTTGGCTTTCAAAGTTGCTTAGGAACATTTTGTGATCATCCCCATCTTCGCAGCAAGAGAAGACTGGGGTGTTCAGTGTGGGGGGTGCAGCTGGTGCAGCTGGGCGCCTGTGGTTTCAGCATTTGTCTGCAACCGGAGCACTGCCAGTTCGTGCTTGTGCTGGCGCAGGGGCTCTCTAGCTCAGGGGTGGGCAAAATGTGGCCCATGGGCCGGATCCGGCCCACCAGGCCATTCTATGTGGCCCGCCGGGCCCCTAAGAAATTTAGAAAATTAATATTTATCTGCCCCTGGCTGCCTGTCATGCGGCCCTTGATGGTTTGCCAAAACTCAGTAAGCGGCCCTCCCCCCAAAATAATTGCCCGCCCCTGCTCTAGCTTCATGCTTGCACTGTTCCTTCCCATGCTGGCACTGTGTCTCCTCCCACTGGCGCTGGGCCTCCAGCTCCATCCTTTTCAACTCTAGCTCATGCTTGAACCTGCGCTCTTGCTCCTCAGCTTCTAGCTGCAGCTGGAATTTCCGCAAGTCCCACTCAGAGCGTGGCCCCCCAGTGCCCCCCGTGGGTTTTGGAAGGACATGCGGAGGTGACCTTGCAGCCTGGTCATTATCACACAGGATCTTAATCAGGTCTTCCCTCTTCTGCTCCTTCCTCACTGGAAGGCCTCTCTTTCATCAGCTCTCTCAAGTCAGCCACTGTCATGTGGTCATACTTGTCAGCCATCCTAGCTATCTACACTGTCAGTAGACCCGATGCCAAATTAGAAATTGTTTGCTCAAGGGTTTTCAGCAACTCTATTCCCTTCCCCAAATTATGCCTTCAATACAGCAGGTTGTCAGATCCCACTGATACCACCATGTGTGGCGGGCCAGTAGGGGGTGCTCCTGCACTGAGCCACCCACCTCACTGCGCCTGACCACCTTCCAAGCTCCAAGTGCCTCCCTGGGGGCACCTCACATCTGGCCAACCCCCTTCCTGGAGCACAGCCGCTAGCCTGGGGGTACAGCTGCCACCACCCATGGATGGGCTTGATTCTGGCGCTGCGCCCCCTGGGAAACACAGGTCTAGTAGCCCTCAAAGGTACTTGACTCACTTCAAGAACTTGGGGTGCTTCCCTCAGTTGGAAGCACAAATAGTGGTCTCCCTTTGTCAGCCGAACCAAAAGGACCCCAAGGCATAATCTAGACCCGCTCCCAATAAGTCTCCCACACTAGGTACAAAGGAGAACTTTATTGGTTATAAGGAGTAGGGTTGGAATAGGGTACAGAGTTGAGTAGTATCAGAGAAATCACATAGAGCAAACAGGGTGGCTGGAGTAGCCTTTGAACACGTATCTGAGTTATTGCAAGCTATGTATCTCGTTAGATCTCAGGTAGCTTACTCACGAGTATCATCCAGAGGCAGGTGGAGATTCCCTCTGGAGGCAGGCAGTTCCTTGATCATGAGTTTTGAGAGAGAGACCAAGTTTCAGATGGTCCAGCTCTTCTCTCTCTGAGTCATCCTCATGGCTGCTGCCCCTTCCCCATGGGCAGTACTTAACTTATATAGCCCTTATGACCTCATTTACCTGGTCCAATGGAGGCCAGCACCCATTGGCTGTCAGCCAACCAATTTGAAATGCATCGCTGGTTGCTGGGCAGACTGGCAGTCTTTAGCCCACCAGGGAGCCCAAGCCCCTCACCCAGGTATGTGATGCTAGTCACATAGGTAGAGGGAGCAGGTTTCCCCACTCCCTCAGGAATGTATCCAGCTCAGGTTGCCTAAAGAGATAGGATAGGGTGTGTACCCCCTGCAGGGCCCATCCTAACCAAATCGTCACAGAGCAGAGTTTTTGGGGAGAAACAGAGGTGGCCTTCTGCCACACAGCTTATAATGAAACATTCATGCTTTCATGGAGAACTGTAGCAAACATGTCCTAAGTTGCAATATCATTTATACAACTGTGCTTGTTAATTATTCAATTGACTATTTGGTTCTGTGCAGCTAAGTTAAAGAGTATCAATTCAAATGCAAATAAACATTTTTCATACTTCATAAAGTACTTTTGTGTTGCCAGTAAATTGTTTATCTTTAAGCAGCACTTATGATAGATATCTTCATGAGGTTTCTAGATATAAGCCAGTATCGTGTTGAATGTGTATGATTCATGCTAGAAGAAGGTGATAATACAGTTACACCCAGAAATAATCAGATAAGAACACACGCAGAAGTGCTTGTGGGGTTATTTTTAAACGATACATCTGCTGTGCTAATGGTAGAAAAGGATGTTGCAGATATATATATATATATATATATATATGAATTACAAATGAAATGAAAAAAATATCTTAAGCTTATTAGGAAAATAAAACTAAAGGGAAATCATATAACTTCTCTGATGTGGGGGGAAAGTGTTTGTTAAAAAAAACTGTACTATCAGAAATCACAACGGATGATTAATGAGGTGTCCCTTGAAAGAAAGGGAGAACTTTGCTTTTGATAAAACCAAGACGAGTATCTTCCTTTACAGTTAATTGTAGGAGAAGCCCTCATCATCAGCCCTAGTTTTCTATTTTAAGAACATGTTGAAGATGTAAATTTTCCTGGTCTACTTTTGTGCTTTGTCATAATAAATTTAAATCTTAAAAATCAGTCTAAAAACATCAAGTATGTAGCAAACCTGCCATGTGTCTGCATGTTTCTATCTAAAAACTATTCCAGGTTCTGTCTTGGCAACAAACCAAACAAATTCTGAAATATGAGCTCTCACATCATCTCTTAAGAAAAAAAAATCTTAGAAATGCTGGGAATGTCAGTTAGGGGGCTCAACAGAAGTGATGTACAATACAGAGCCTGTTCTCAAGGAAGTCACAGAAATGAATTCTTTTCTCTTTGCAGAGTAACCACCAACAACAAAGTTCGGGAGCAGGTACTTCTTGAACTGAGTTTTGTAAACTCAGACCTGCAGATATTAAAGGAGGAATTAGAAGGACTTAATATCTCAGTCGAAGTGTATCAGAATGCTGAGTAAGTGAAAAATCGACATTATTCCTGTATCAATCATCCTATATTTACTCTCTGGGAATAAAACTGGTGCTGGATGAATGTGAATGCTGGACAATAATTACATGAAAGAACAGTGAATAAAGGGCAGACAGAAAGAGACATGTTTTCTGAGCACTGTTGACTAAGGGTTAGTCTGTGTATTTGCATTTATCTTGGGAAAGGTATTCAAAATAATTAATTCTTAGCCCTTATCTTTCACTTCTTATAAAGGCCAGTTTCAAGGCAGAACTCAGGATCTTGAGAGTACTTGGTCCTCTAGGGAGGTGATCAGCACCTGGCAGGATTGCCAATGCCAGAATGGCTAACCTATTGAATGTGTTATGCAATGAATAGCATGTTGCACAAACCTAACAATGTGACATTTTCTCTATGGAAATGCAGTACATATAACAGTCTCCCTTTCAGCTGGAGATGAGAGCATCAGTACTGTTTTGAGCCTGAAAGCAGTATTTTAAGGGATCAATAACCAACAGAGATAACTACCAAAATGGAATTTCCCCAAATTTTGTGATTTGTCACTCAAAGCAGGATGAAAAGCTGAAATATCAAAAACTTTCATGGAATGCAAAAAAATATATAGATTGTGAATCATCAAAAAATTTGACATGTTTAGTCTAAAAGAAACATTCCTGAAATTAAACATTTAGTTTGGGGTCAATGTTAATTTTTACACCCTCCTGAGATCTCAAGGTAACTCATAGGAATTATAGTTGCCCAGCTGTCATGCCCTCATTCTTAGAGTTACCATATTTCCAGTTTCAAAAAAGAGGAGACCTGTTGGGGGAGGCTGTAATATGATTGTGGGGGAGGCAGTGATATGCCCCCTACCCCCTGGCCTCTCTGAAGGGGCAGGCACTTCTCCCACCTTCCTGCCCTGCCGCAGCCCCAGCACCCAGACAGATTCCCCCAGCGCTGGCAGGCACCTGCCCCTCATGCACACCCATCCCTGACACCACCCAACAGCCCCCAAGCCCTGGCCCTCCAACTCCTGCCCCCCACAGACATACCTGCCTGGACTGCTGGGATGCAGGAGCAGATGCACATGATGCCCTTACCCCCAATCACCCTCCCCTGCTCCCCCAACCTCAAGCAGCTCCTTGCTGGGGCACGCTGGAAAGGGCCGGGAAAAACCTCGATGCTGAGCAGAGGCAGAGCAAAATCCCAGACATTTGTTGATATTTTAAAAACCTGCCTGGACAGAGATGGGAGGACCCAGAAAGAGGACATATCTGGTACAATCCGGATGTTTGGTAACCCTACTCGTTCTTCCTTGTGGGCCTTACTGCCAGCCAGATATGTCTACATGGCATTGTGAGGTCTCCTTGTAGATGGACTGCTATCTTGGTTTGTTGTGGAAGTCCCATGAATCACTGCAGTGAGTTAGTCACGGAAGCAGTGTCACAGAGGAGAATGCTAACAAGAGGAACCCAGAATTATAGCTACCATGAGGCAGAGTGATTATTAACCTAAACCAAAATGAAACTGGTCACTTTTCCCAAAGTGAAATTCCACCAAAAATTGCTCTAATTCTCCATGGCAATTTTTGACAAAACTCCATGTTCTGCTTGGAAAATGTTTTGTTCATAATGTGAAAAGCCTTTATATAATTTGACAAGTCAGATTATACCACAGATGTAGTTGGAAAAAGGGAAGTACAGCAGTATTGAGAGAGGTGGGAGAGCAGGTTTGTGACAGATCCCAGAAATTCAAAGGGCATTTTTACGTGTGCCTTGGGATGCGGTGCCAGGCGCTTTGATTAGCAAGCCGCACTAATTAAAAGCACTCGTGCATCACATGTATCAGTGTCCCTGTGCTGAAAAAATGGTGGTGGGATGCTTTGAACTAAAGCTCAGCAAATGTGTTTTATTTCAGAGCGCCACAACACCATTTTTTCAGTGTAGGGACGCTGATACCTGTGACGTGGAAGGCTGCTGGAGCATGTCAGTTTCCGTGCTCCTCCAGACTCGATTAATCAGAGCAGATTAATTGAGTCTGCTCTGATGTGCTGGATTTCCATGTCTGTAGGAGCCCAATGAGTCCTTTGGTGGATCATTTAAAATCATTTTACTGTTTCAGGGAAGGGTTGCTGATCCTGGTCTTCACAGAGGCAGCATTGCTTAGAAGTAGTGCATTGTTATTTTTCCCACTCCTATCTCCTTTTAAACAGCGTTTAAAAAAAAAAAAGGAAACTGTTCATAAAGAGTCCCAAACTGCAGGCCACATTTTATGTACAGGTTAACTAAGGCTGAACAAAGGTGGCATTTGTAGCTCCTGGCTCTCTCCTTAATTATAGGCCTTACTTTTCTCATAGGGAAGTGGGGAAATCCCAGGAAATGCTAAGAAGGGGGGAGCCATGTAGATGAAAAGGGTGGGAACAGGTATATTTTCACTTTAATGAGAACCTCTTTCTCTTCCCTCTTTGACCATTACAGGGGACCAGATCTCTGGACAGCCAGCATATAATCAGGGAAAGGAAAAGGGAAGTTGGGAAAACAGAGTGTAAAATATTCCCCTTTCAGAGCAGCAAACTTTTAACCTTCTACTTGCCTACCATTAATTGGGTTACCCCCAACCTGGCAGCCTCTAGGGTCTTAACAGACTAAAACGAAAAGTTTGGGACATGAAGCTGTCATACTTCCAGCCAAAGACATAACTGAGAGTCACACTCTTGTTGCTAGAATGAATCGACTGGGATGGTACAGAAACAGAGGTTATGCTTAAGGCCTGAAAACTGGAGAGCCAGTCCTCATTATTCCTGTGGCTGTCAAAGCTATTTTGGGAATGCACTAGGAGAATCACCACTCTTCTCTGTAAATCCAGTGATTTTTTTTCATTGTCATGAGGTCATGTTGCAGTCGTCTACTTAGTAGTAAGCTTTACCAGTTAAGAGACTATCCTGTCTCCTGTTTTAAGCATGATGGCTTAGAGAGCAATTGGGCAACAGTCCTTCATTATACAGAGACCTCTTGCTTATCAGAGATACTGTTTAGTGATACCTTGGTGAGACCATCTTTGAAGAAAGAATATAATTTAGGGTTCTTTATTACAAAACATGGGTTGCATGTCAAGAAGACCTAAACAGATGAAACACTCCTTTTTCCCCAAAAGCAAAAAATGAGAGTAGAATCTGTCCCAGAACATTTTTGATGAAGCAACAGGAACTGTGTAAATGCAACCCCCACTTTTGTTTTTTGTCTGTCTTGGTTCTGGTTGACTGCTGAATATCGTGCACTTGCCAACAAGTTGACAAGTGTACTTGTCCCTAAGCACGTTTATGTAAATGCTCATAAGACTGTAAGAATACTATTAGTATGTCCCTGGTCTGATACTGGCCGCGTGGTCGAAGGAGATTTTAATTTTCCCATAATGAATCCATATAAGCAATGGATTTCTCTATGGATTTGACACTTAAGTGACTAAAAACCAAAACTATATTCTTTGGAGAACTGTCTTAGAGAAACAGTGGCGTGCTGAAAATTGTACACAGCCTCATTAGTTTAATTAACATGGATTATGAAAGACATTAATTAAATCAATAGGTCTTTTTTTAGCAGCTTGGTTTATATCAGTTTGTTTTTCCAAATGAACTATTGTATTAGCACTGCAACGCCAACTAGCTGTTCCTTCCAATTTCTGGTGAGGTGTAGGCAGTTTTCATTATCTACTAATGTTTATAAAAGTATTTGTGCCCCACTATCATGGGGCAAAGCTGTCAACTCCACCAGGAGGCCTCTCTACATGCTGGCCTAAATAAGCACTGATTTTTGCTGCCCAAGTTCTTTATTACTCCCCAGTTGTCCCTGCCTACTTTCTGAATCATGCCAGTCAATTCCAGGGCTTTCCTCTAAGGAACAAGGTTTATGAGTAGATGGCATTGCTGCTCCCTGCACAGACCTCATCACCAGAGACAGGCAGCTTAGGTTCTCCTAGCTTTGCTGACTGGGAGACCATAAATGAATCATACCCTTAGTGTTTGTAGTTAAAATTAGGTCAGTTTAAACAATGATTACAAAGTGAGTCGTGCATTTGCAGGAAAAAGAAAAGATTGAATAAGCTGTTGATTAGTTGTGCCTCAGACACAAAAAGGAGGCACTTTTCCATTCAGACTACTATCTGTCTACTCAACACACTATACAACTGGTGCCTTTTCTCCTTGAAATAGGATTTTTTTTATTTAGAGAAAGACATATATAAACAGATTTCACATTTGGGGCTAAATGCTTGCTGCTGTCTCTATTCATATGAGATGTCCTACAAGCAGACTCCTAGTACTCGCATCATATTAGCCAGATTTATCCCTAGATCCAGATGGTTGTTTTTTCTCAAGGATCAGTTTTTTCTAGTGTTGCTATTCCCTGCCTTATCACCTTCCGTAGTAATGTTTTGTGGGCTGCATTCTCCCTGACCCTAACTTTCTCTAGGAGTTAGAGTATTGCACATTATTTCTTAAAACATATCCTCTGACTCCACTTGTGTCAGATCAGGTCAGACCTTCCATTCACCTGCACTAGAGACTAATTTCCATCAGTGGCTGATGCATGCAAATGAGGATGCTTAAGCATAAAAAAAATTAGCATAGGCCTTACCTGGGCATGTCTCCTTGCAATGGCAGAGCTGCTTCTGGCTCATGTGGCTTACACAAACAAAGGAAAGTTGAATCTACCCTTTCTCTTCTCCTTGGTCATTTGGGGTAGAATAACTCAGCATGGCAGGGTTCCAGAGCAGACTTTATTTTGTTGAGGTCCATGCTGTCCTTTCCACTTGCAGAAGAGTCTTGATACAACTGGGCTCTGGCTCTGCTCCAGTGACCATGTTGGCTGGGTACAGCTTGGGCGGGGGGAGAGAGTCTTCCTTTTCATTGCAGATAAACTTAAGTTGCTGCCTACCCAGATAGGGGTCAACAGCTCCCCCTACTCACAAACACATTAGTGGTGTCCTAATTTATCAGGAGACATGCCATGATATATTTCTTCTCCATCATATGCTTCTTTCATTCCTGAAATAGGAGCATGCATTTTGGCTGTTTGTTGCTTTTTAAAAAAATAAGGAAAATACATGGTGTGAGGCTGAACAATTATACTTAATACTGCCTAGTGCAAAGGAAAAGGTGCATATTACATGGATATTTATGAGGAAGCCCAGCCAGTGGCTATGTAGAGAAAGAGGGGTACCACTGCCAAATGAGCAACAGACAACGAGGGATTAATTTTCTGTTTTGTCTTTTCTCTTGCCACAGAGAAGCTTTCAGCATTCCCTTGATACCGCTTGGTTTGAAAGAGACCAAAGAAGTGGACTTCACTATCCCCCTTAAGGTAAATTACAAAGAGAGAATATTTAGAATCAGTTATTTAACATGTAGGAAAATTGTAGAGCAGTTATGTTGGAAGAGGTGTAGTGCTAGGTACACATTCTAAACACATTTTTCTGTTTTATTTGCACTAACCTGATTTTAATGTGATCAATTAAGAACTTAATACATTAAGACATACCCAGCATTTGATATTAAATCTTCTTAAGGGAAACAGTCCCAGTGACTTCAGTAGCATGACTCTAGATGTGCACCTTTCTGAACAGAATTTTATCTGTTATTTTATGTCTAGGCTAGTAGTGATGATGACTTATTCTTTTTTACAGTATTCAAAAGGGCACTGGGCACTCCATAGTTCAAACCAAACCAGGTCCTTCTCCAGAAGATCTTACCGTCTGGATGAGGATCAGTTAAATAATCTGGTTGCACACACTTGTGCTTTTTTTAGGGCAGTTGGGGGATGGTTTGGCATCCAGACAGAAAACCCAAATGTATCAGTACTCATATATGCCGAGATTGTCTCTTGTGAGGGGCATAACCAGCCTATGCTGGGCAGGGGAAGCAGAATGAGATGCAGAGGCAGCTGTGATAACTCTGCACTCCTGGGACGGGGGCAGCCCCATCTAACCAGGTAGGGCAGTTTTAAGTATGCTTTGTACCACTACTTTCTAGGTCCAGGGACCTGATATGCAGAGTGGATCTTGTTTTCTCCCCATTATGTAGGTACTTTCCTTAAACTAGTAAAATAACATTATACCTGAGAGCAAGGATTTCGCTCAGACAAAAAAACGCCATCTTTAATATGGATTTAAAGATGTTCTCACACTTTCATGTTTTTGATTGCACAAAAGAATTTTCAGCAAAGATTATAAAGGTCTTCCCTTTGGCACAGGAGAGTGTGCCTTTTATAGATATTTATTTTGGTGGGGTTGGCTGTGGTTAGTGTATCTGTGTTTGAATTACATGATGAAATCCTTGGAAGGAAGGCTGTTTTTGTTTCATTTCCCTGCCTCTGGCAATCAGCAGCCCTGCTCCATGGAGCAAGTAAACAACAGCAGCTTTACTAAGCCAAGAGCAACTCAGTTTCAGAGCTTCCCAGAGTAACTTAATCTGCATTCTTCCAAGCAAAACGCTCACTGGCTTCAATGGGAGTTTTGTCTCAGACAGGAGCATAGATTGGAGCATAGACTCAAGGAGAATTTGGGTTTTCGCTGAAAGCTGTGGTGTAAGCTCCAAATGCTCCTTGTTGGGAAATGATTGTTTGAATCAGAAAAAAAAAATCTTCCCTTTTCTTTTGATCATTTTTTAACTTTACAGTTCAAATTCAGAGAACGATTTGAAAAGTGACTTCAGTTAAGCACCCTTAGACTAAATTAGACTTCTATAAATATATTCTGTACACAGGCCGGATCCTGTCCACAGAGCCATGTTGCCTGGCTCGCAGGGGTCCACATGGGTCTGGGAACTTGGCAGTAGGGGAGCAATGGCAATTAACACTGCCACCACTCTGATGGCAAATCTCCAAATCCTGTGCAGCTGGATTGGGCCCAGGCCCAGGCCCCATGCAGCTAACTTGGGCCCTGTGTGGGGCTGCAAAGTGCACTTGATCAGGCTCACAGATCAGACCTGGTCCAAGGACTGACCTGGCACCACTTACCGAGCCCGTGAGGTGAAAAGGTTGGGCACCTTGGTGTAAACTGTTTAACTTGCATGTTGGGGATCCATGGAGTCACAATGGTGGAAATCTAGTAGAAATAAAGAGATCACACATCTGTCTGTTAACGTGCTGCATTAAGACTACTGAGGCTACTCTGTGGATGTGTAAGGGAGTCTGTCTACACTGTAGAACATAGGCCTGTGTAGAGATACCTGAGCTGGGTATCTTATGATCACTTGACTCCTTTGCTGTTTGTAGTTTAAGTGTTTAGATGTCGCTTACAAAAGAGCAGGTTGTAAAACAAGTGGAGAAGATGTAATTACTGTTCCTTTACCCAGACTGGCATCCCTTGTATCTGATACCAGATCAAGGACACCCGTCTACCTGCTCCAAAGAGCTGCTCTAATTAAAATGCCTGCCGCATCTCATGTATTCCGTGTCCCTACATTTCAAAATAGCAGCTGGGGCGCTTTTTATTAAAGCTCACTTGATGATCTTTAGTTAAAGCACTCCTGCCACCATTTTGAAATGTGGGGACACTGAGTATGAGATGCTGTAGCATTCTGCTTAGAACGGTCTAATCCAAGCATGTCAGAGCACAACCAGCTTCAAACTGGCTTCTCTTAATTTTTTATACCATCACATAAGTATAAAACACTTGACTTTTGTTTCCTAAAAAACACATTCCCCTTGTTGTGAAGGGGAAATAGTTTTTAAATATTCAGGACACCATTCATAATTGCAGAGAAACCTGTTGCTTTGATTTAAATGTTTAAGGCTATTCCCATATTTTTAGGATTTCATCCTGGAACATTACAGTGAAGACAGCTCAGAATACGAAGATGAAATTGCAGATCTTATGGATTTGAGACAAGTGGGTTTGAGTATTGCATGTTAATCTCTTTAGACAGTTCTAATCTTGCAGGTTTTAATTAAACAGTAGCATCATATTATGTTTCTGTTATCCACCCTGGCAGGTAACTGTGCTGGTCAAAGGTTAGCTTATTCTTATTTACTTTTCCTCCACACATAAGAAGGCAATAATAGGGCATATCAGATGACTGCCTCCACACCCTAACAACTTTACAATCTTAATTGATTTTAAAAAAGGCTAAAGAAAGGCATGAAAGAGTCATTACAACGTGACTGAACCCACCAATTAGACCCAACCTGCAAATTCAAAACTTTATCTGTAAAATATTTAAATTGTAATGGGGATGGGGATGAGAGATTAAAGAATTTTGAAGTGAGGTGTGAAAGCAGTAACAAAATTAAGAGAGAGCTGCAGCAGAAAACTAAATATTTCTAATTATTAGCCATTTGTTAGATTTTCTTCAGTAGTTCAGAAAATACCTAGTGTCCAACATAGGAAACCAAGTCTTTTTCAAAGTGTGATAGAACTGCCTATCATATACTACTAGCCTGTGCTTTTGGGGCCAGATGCTGCTTTCTGTGTACTGCACAACTTAGCTGTTCAGAGCTGTGTCCATACATCAGGGCTGAGCTTTTGTCCTGAATTTCTAATTCCCATATTCTGGACATTTTCATATTATGCAAAAGTCCAGCTGCTTTCAGCTAGAGCAGAACTCTGCCCTCACTGTAAACATTTATTCTGAAACGAAACAGAATTCATTTTGTGACACTGCCTTTGTTCTTCAAGGCCTGCCGTACTCCCAGCAGAGATGAAGCTGGCATTGAGATGTTGATTAGCTATTTCAATCAACTTGGCTTTATAGAAAACAGGTTTTTTCCACCTACCAGATACATGGGGATCTTATTTACATGGTAAGTTGTACTTTCAATTTTTCAACCCCCGCAAGTAGAATATTGTTAAACTAATTCTATCTAATTTGAAACCATTTTTTGTACAGTGCATGTAATGTTTATATAGATATGCATTTAGTACATGCAGTAAAGGTGAAGGAAATAAGGCCCATTTTATACTGAGAGTAAGGTCAGTAATAAAGATGGTAACATTGGCTATCTGCTTTCACAAGGGACTGAGGGTAAATTAAATCTTTTGCACGTGCTACTTGGACTTTGGGTCCTGGCTGATAGTGCATGCAGCAGTGGGCTTCATCTTCTGTAGTTACTAGGTAGGGCTTCTTTACCTTCTGTAGTCACTAGATAGGGCAGCTGAGCCAGGAGACTACTGTAAATTGTTGGGGGTGCTCCTGGGGTGGTGTATTTCCCTACCATATAGGAGCAGAATTTGACTCACTGGATTTAAATCTTTTACTTGTGATGAGGAACTGAGGTACCCACCCTTCAGTCAAGGAAAAGCTGTTGAAGTTCTAGTCAAGCATTGCAAAAAGGGCCAAAGTACGTTTTAAGAAAGTTCCAGTAAATCCACAAGCTAGCTAGTTCATAGCACTCAAAAATGCACTTGCAGTACATACAAGTGAATATCCTGGCCTTTAGCTTTAAATGAAGCATGATAAGCATACAGAGCTTGCAGCTCTCAGAAAGCAGAATGAAAACATTGTCTTTCTGTGTTTTGTGGTCCATCTGGCACATTTAATCTCATTTCATTTTTTCTCCCCCACCAAAGGTACGATTCTTTCACTGGAGTCCCAGTCTGTCAGCAAAACCTGTTGCTAGAAAAAGCCAGCATTTTATTTAACATTGGAGCCCTCTACACGCAGATCGGTACAAGGTGTAATCGACAGACCCAGTCTGGACTTGAAAATGCTGTTGATGCTTTTCAGAGAGCTGCAGGTACAAAAAAGAAAGAAACCCCCCTCCAAACAAACAGCGGTAGCTTGCTGGCATTATGCAATACCAAGGAGAAGATTTCTGTGGAAGTTTTGGGCTTAATTTTTATGGTCTCAAGTTTTGTCCTCTGACAGACAACTATAGTTCTTGTTCAGTCTTAGTTTTAGTTTCACAGTGTCTTAGACAAAAAAAGCAGCAGGAGTGAAACCTGAAGGTCCTAATGAAGACCTGGAACTAATCTTTAATTAAACATTCCTTGCAACATTAAACTAATGTTTCAAAACCTGGAGCTGCAGCCTGAACCAGGTTGATAAAGACAAAATGAATACTGTGGTTAATAATTAGTGAGCTGTAATTTGAAGATGTAGGTAATAGCTGTACATTAACCTTTTAATTGTCCACTCTGTTTCACCAGTGCAACAATTGGAATCAATGTAGTTTTGTTGGTGGAACATCTGAGCAATGGTCCTGACATTTTAAAATTTCAATTTACCTTTAAAAAAAGAAAAAAAAATGTAATCTCTCAAAGGATGTTTATGAGCCATATAAAAATCAATGAGATATATGCCATTCTCTCTAAATGAGCAGAATCAATGGCCATAATTATATATTCATAATATTTTTACTCTGCTAATTCAGTAATAGAAATAAAGGAGAAGTGCATCTTCTCACGTAACATTCAGAGAGAGCTTTAATTTTCATTTGAGTGGGTTTTATAGTGGAACCCTTTATTTCTTGCCTGTAAGATCCTTGCATGAAAGTTATTATGTAAATCTAAAGGTATCACATTACTAAAAATATTTCTAGATGTTTAGAGGCTGCCAGCTTTAATATCTATGTTATCAAAATGTATTGCAAGATGATAATTATAATGCTGGACTTTTCAAAAGCCATCATAGCTGGCAACTACAAACACAAAGTGTATTACTGTAATACTGCCAGTTCTTGTATTCAAAGAACTGCACACAGATTTTGAGAATATGCTTCATGCATTTTTAAATAGATTTTTGTCTTGCTACTCATCTGCCTGAAAAGAGGTTTCAGCGTTTATAATATGAGGTAGCAGAGGAGAGAAATTTCCCTTTAAATAAATCACTAATTAGAGCATTAGTCATGTAAGTGTATTTGTAGAACTGTGTTAGTTTACAAACTGGAGTATGTCATCTGCAGCCAAAGTAGCATATCTTTTTGCAGACTAGTCATTGTACTTGTGCATGGCTCCATAGCACTTTGGTAACACAGCATACAGTGTTCCAATACAGTACATGCATCTGTAGTAGCCATTCTGTGCAGCTAGATACAAGTAGTGGCACTGATTCAATCCATAGCAAAGCCCTCTCTCTATGCTGTAAAAAAGTCATAAGACAAAGGAGAACCAACTCGTATATCAGAAAACGAGGGTGGTTTTCTGGACTTTCTGAGCAAATTCAATTTCTAAAGGAATCTGAGAAAGGGGCTTAGCTCAGATGGGCTTGACAGATATTTCGGAGCTCAAGAGCTCTTTAAAAGAGCAGAGTATGGCACTGATTACACTTTGCATAACTGCAGCTTCTACCTCTGAAATGTACGATCATAGAACTAGCACTAATAATAGGAGCATAGCAGGCTGAACAGGTAAGTAGTAACAAGGAATAAAAAACACTTGTGATAAATGGGGAACTTCTAGGGCACCGAGTTCTGCCTTGATAGTTGTGCAGTAATACTGGGCAATTAGCATGCGAGTGGAACTTGATAAACCAGTTGGATGAGATGCATGTTGAAGGTTACATTTTAATCCCTGAAAGTGTTACTAACTGTTTACACTACAGTTAATGTTTGTTTTAGGTTTCTAAATGATCAGAATTGTTTTTAGTTGAACTGGGTTTGAAGTAGAATCTAATTTTACCCTACTGAACATACTATCTATCCCTGTTTACTTTTGGGCCAGAGCAGCTCTAGAATCCAAGCACACAATGACCCAGTATCCTTTGCGGTACTTGGTGTCAGTTCTTTCCTATGGGTCCTTACCCTTGCTTCCTTTTCAGAGTCTTTCAGATTTTTTCTCTTAAGTAAAACCTCATTCTGCTTGGTCTCCAAGGAACTGTGATGCTCCTAGTTGAGCAGCACTCCTCAGAACAGGCAGACAAGTCATAAGCAAGTCAACTTTTGCAGCTCTGGTGAATGATAACCTAGGGAATTGTGGCACATCCTGGTAATGCAGGACACTAAATAGTAGATCAATTTAATTGACTATTTACCAAGACTCATTTGGGATGACTTAATTTGCCTTGAACAGTCCCTAGAAAGTACAGTTTAAAATTTTGCAGTTATCTTAGCAGGGGTGTAGGTTGTAGCCGTGTTGGTCTAAGGACATAGGCAGACAAGATTCCTTGGGTGAACCTGATATCTTTTATTAGACCAACCCAAATGGTTGGAGAATAGTTATTAAGCAAGCTTTCGGGTTCAAAAACCCTTTGTCAGGCTTCGTTCAAAAATGAAGGGTTTTTGAACCCGAAAGCTTGCTTAATAACTATTCTCCAACCATTTGGGTTGGTCTAATAGAAGATATGAGATTCATCCAAGGAACCTTGTCTGCAGTTATCTTATGTGTCAGTCATAATTGTTCACTGTTTAATTTAGCTGTGAAGTTAGCTGTTCACCTGTTTTCTTCTTGTAATTAGTAAAACATGTTAATATTTCAGGAATCTTGAACTACCTAAAGGAAACATTCACTCATACACCAAGTTACGACATGAGCCCAGCTATGTTGAGTGTACTAGCCAAAATGATGCTTGCTCAAGCTCAAGAATGTGTTTTTGAACAGATCAGTCTCCCTGGAATACGCAATGAGTTTTTCACACTAGTAAAGATGGCCCAAGAGGTTGCAAAGGTAAGCCATGGGACTGTTAAATCTACAAAAAGTGCTCTCTTTTTCCTTCCCAACCCATCTTCAAAATCACTACTTCAGATCTGTATCGATACTGCCAATGTAGTAAAACGTTAAAGAGGATTTTTAGCATTCATTAAAATTCTAAAAAAAACCTAATTTGCAAGCTGAAAATGTGAAGGATTTGTGGCAGGTGGCTGGCACAGTATTAGAAAAATTAGCTTACAGGGCTATAGGTTCTGACATATGGAAATACTTGTATAAGTTTAACATTATCCCTGTAACAGATCAGTTTATTAACACCACATCCCAACTGGAAACCTATCAAAACAGTAACTAGACACTGACTTCATTTTTTGAATGTGTATGTGGTTCATTTTAGCAGGCTGAAGTATGTAACTGTGCAGTTCTCCCAGAAATTAATTGACAAACTGACAAAATGTCTAGTTATGACCACAGGGAGGGATTTTTGTAAGCTAGACTGGATTTAGTACAGCATCAAGAAATCTACTGTGACTGTTTAAGAACAAGAACCAAGTGAGTACATCTTCATATTCATTAGTTACTGTGCATTAAGTATAGCACTTGTATAATCAAGTACTAAATCAATGTGCAGTAACTGGCATTACTGTGCAGTAGTGCCAGCATGCACCTTTTTTTTTAGTGATGCTACTGCGCAGTAGCCTTATAATACTGCTCAGTAGCATATTAGCACCACTTATGCTGACATGTTACTGCGCAGTATTATTAGGCTACTGTGCAGTTAGCATCTTGTGTAGACATGCCCAGTGTGTCCTAAATTAGTCTGATTGTAGATTAAGATTTAAAGGGTCATTCTACTAAGAGGTCTTTTCACCAGGTTCCACCAGAAGGAGGTGATAGTTTCTTATGTACTACCACTGCATCCCTTCCGCATCATCAGATTGCTAAATGCTGATCTTGCTTTAACTTTCCTGCAGCTGAAAGTGCAGCTGGGGTTGGCTAAAGAGCCAGAACACCACAGTGTTGTTTCACTGACCCTAACCAGAATCCTATGTGTAGTGAGGGAATTGTGGTGGGCAAGAATTGCTAGTGATTTGAGGTGTGGGGGCAGCAGAACTGTTACCTAGATTCAGCTAAAAATGAGAACAATGGCTTTCTCAGAGAAAGAAATGTGAAAATTAATGGAGGTTGGCAACACCTGGGAATGGGTAGGCTGTACATACCTTCAGGTCTGCCTGAGTTAGTTCACATCAATTCTTAAGCCTATACAAAGAAAATTAACCAAGGCTTGGTACAGTGTCTGAGGAATGCAGCTGTAGTGCTTCTAGCTGAGGAGGCAGCACATGCAGAGCTAGGTCAAGTATCTCTGCATGGTGCTGCTTTATATCTTCTAGATATACCTACAGTGCCTACTGTAGTCAAGGTTCATAAGTTACCCTGCCAGCCCTGAAAAGCCTTCATTGACGAAACTTATTTCACAGTACGAGATGACCTAAAGCCAGCTTTGAATGCTGTTTTCCAGAATTCAAGCACAAATTTATCAGTAACCTATTTGGCTTGCTAATGCATCTGAAAGGATAATCTGTTTATAGGTTACAAAACATTGTATACTATTAGAGAATATTTATAGAACATACAGTAAAAGCAGTATCAGATAAGACCATACACAGCTGTACAGAATTATTCTATGTTCCAGGAGTCTGTTCAGTCAGTTTCAGATTTCATTTTCCCCTGATACATGGTTTCAGTCATCCTTTTAATTTTGGCCATCCAAATCATAATGCTTTGTAATAACCTAAATTTTCTTTTCTCCTGTATTTCTCTTTCCAACTAACTAAAGGATGATGATATCTGGTTTCTCATACTTAGATTATATGTTTTATTGCAGGTTGGAGAGGTTTACATGCTTGTTGACACTGCAATGAATCAGGCTCCTGTCAAGGAGAACATCCCCTATTCCTGGTCAAAACTGGCACAGATAAAATCAGACCATTACAAAGCTCTGGCACACTACTTTGTTGCTACCATCCTCAGTGACCACAAGTGTAAGAATACCTTGTTTTTCTGTATATACAATGTAAGCCACTAGTATTAAGAAATGGTTGTCTTGGGAGCAGGACTAAACATTGATGACTCCGTAGGTCTCATACAGTCTCTCTCTAAAATCCCTTGTGGCCTTTACTTATTCATCCATTTTCCCCCTGGAATAGAGGTGTAATGATTAGCTAAGGTTTCCAAAAAGATTTGAGAAATGTTATGTGCGCTAAATTATTCACATTCAGGCTGCAGACAGTAGGACTAGTTCTTAATGTAAAAGTTAATATAAGAAGCTTGACTCTCCCCTCAACCCCCTGCTCCACAGTTTAGATGGATGTTTCCAGAGGATTAATACTTCCGCCCCTAAACAATCAACCTGAGTGGAGTGAGATGCAAGGGAAAGACTAACATGGCTAATTTTATATGTATTATTTTAGTGCGTTCCACTGATGATGAAGACCAGCAGGAAAAGATCTGGTCCCAACTGTATGACCACATGCCTGAAGGGCTGACAATTCTAACCATTTTAAAGGACAAAGTTCAACGAAAACAACTAGGTAATTTCAACCTCTATTGAAAGTATAACACAGCAGAAAAGTACTATACAGAAACATTTTAATATTGAGATAAAAATATATTATTCACTATATAAAAAGGGTACTATGCAGAGATATAAATATGAACTAAGCCTTGAAGCTCACATAACCAACATCTGCAGCTATAAGCATGTATCAATTAAGACAAACTAAATTTTGGACAAATAGTCCAAAATTAGGACAAATAGTCAAAAAATTAGGACAAATAGTCTCCTATTCAAAATGACTAATGGGATTAATTGGGCTCTAAGTTTTATTGTCTAGCCTGATTAAAATTACTTGAAATGGGGAGCAGGATTTATCCTAAATTTTTTTTGTGACCATGACTTTGAGAATAATGATAAAGTTCTAATTTTTGCAAATATGTCTATATTAGCAACATATAAATCAAATCAGTTCTTAAACTTGGGCTAAGCCTACAGGAGACACCAGTGTCTGAAAGGGGCATGGAGAGGTGTTATCCCCGATTGATGCAACTGTGCCAGGAGAAGCTCCTTTTACAGATGCGGTCATATCAGCACTTTTACTGGTGTAGCTTGTTTTGGTTGGGATGTCAGGCAGATGGGACTTTACTATATCAGTACACAACACAGCTTTTCTTGTATAAAGGCATAAAAGTGCTTTACCAAGATAGTGTACTCCCAAGATAGTAAAACAATCCTGATGCAGAAATGGTCTTACTTTAAGTAATCCCTGGTCTTGCTGGTGATCTCACAGAGGGCTGCTCAGGTGAATAAGGAGCACAAGATTGGGCTTTCAACCTTTACTTCCTACAGGATAAAGTGTTTGAAGATTGATAATATCATCTTAACTTTAACTGTACTTTTATGTAGCCTTTTGTTTCCAAGATTTCTAATAATTTTTGCTTCCTCCAGGGAAAGCACACTTACGCAAAGCCATTGTTTATCATGAAGAAGCACTGAGAGCTTGTGGTCTGTGCAGAAAGCTTCGAAATATTGACATTCTTCAAGAGATCCTAACAGTTGCTCACAAGCGCTCGCTACTCAAGTACGCTCAGCAGGAGCAGGAAGATGACTTCCTGAGTCTCATACAAGCTCCAGACATCCTTCGTAAGTATCTCCATCTAAAAATTAAAGTTTTTTTAAAGTGACTAGGGATTTTTAGGCACATTTTTCACAAAGTGGTTGGCACCTTGAAAAGGGTCTGGAAGTAGATCTCAGACTTTGTGGTTAAAGAATGAGCTACATGGAGAAGTGGGGTCTGGACACTGTTAATTTAAACAGCTTTTCTGCTAATCAGATTTAATGTTTAGGAAATAATAATTAGATACCTTTAAAACATTTTATATATGGTTTTTCATTAAAATTAAAGGGATATTTTTGGAGGTAACTCTTGAATATGCTACCAAGGAACCTGAACCCATGGTAAAGGATGGAGGAGGAGACTGTATGAAATCAGAATAATACAGTAGGAGACTAATCAGGAGTAAAACTTGGGCATCATGCATGGAGTAGAAAGATTGGGATGGCCCCAAACATAGAGAAGCTAGAACTTTTTCCCAATTAAATCTTCACAGTGAAGATATCTGCAGTGTGTGGGTGATGTGTTGGCATCCTTAGTTTCTGGAAACACACTTAAATAGTCAGCACTTTCTGGATTCATACCAGTGAGACAAGCTTCTAAGTTCTACAGTATTTCAAAATAAAAATTACATATCAGCTATGTTTTTTGGGTTACTTCATATTACCCCACATGCAAAGAACAACTTAAGATTTGACTACCTCAGCAGAAGTGAAGTACTTCAGATAAAGGCCTTTGTCTTGCACAATACATATATAAAGAGCCAGAAACTCATTTTGCAAGTGTTGCCTTAAACAATTTTAACAGGTAGGAGGTGGAGAGGCAAGTCCAGTAAAGGGCAAAAAGATTATAGAGTCAATAGAAGGTTCACTGTGTGCACCAGCACAAAGATATCAGTAAAAAAAATGGTGCAGTCTAGATACTCTAGTATTTGCATATATTTCTAAGTTACAGACTGGACCTATGAGATCAAATTTTAGCAAGCCTTCTGAATTGTGTCTTCATATATTTAAACAGTTTTGTTTAGAAGGTCTCCTGAATATGCATCAGTCTTCAGTGAATGGCTTTCTACATATAGAGGACAATGCTTATGTTCAGAGAGTACATATTTGTTAAGTCTGGTAATTATATAAAAAAGATTGCTAGCTTGATATATGTAAGCTTGCACTATTTTGGCCCATCCTGTTAATAGAAGCATGGTCTCCGGCACTTGATCTAGCACTTAAGAGAAAACTAACATGTTTTTACATTTTGTTCTAGCTAAAACAGAACATAAAGTGGACATGGTTAGTCCTCAGTTGTCCAAGGTGAAAGTCAAAGACTTCTTTCATAGACTGGTACGTGAAATTTAATGTACTATTTGTCACTTCACTAAGGAGTGTTCTACCAGAAGGAGAAATGTGTATCGCTTTCCTTGAAATAATGTGTGTGTTTCTATAATGCAAATATTTTGTTAACAAGCATTGAAAGGTTGTTCTTAATCTCAGACTTTCAGACCAAACGATAATATGAGCTAAGTGGTCGTTGAGCTAAATTTTTCCCCATGTCATTTTATTTGAGATGGGATTTGTCCCACTGTACATAGAGAACCAGAAGGAAATCATGCCCAACTTTGGGTATGGAGCTCTTCTTGTAATAGAATTGGGGTGTGCAGCATGAGGAAGGTAGTGATGTGCGCACTCCACATGACACAAAACAAACAGGAAGGAATAGGAGACTGAAACACCTGATGCTTTCTGGAACAGCCTGTCCTCCCTCTGAAGGGGAGGGTTGTGGAGTTTACTGAATCCTGCAGTAGTCACCTTGGACCTGGTCTAAATTACCCAATGCATGCACTCTTGCCTCACTCCAAGTCTTCCTGAGAGGTCCTGAACCCCATAGCAGGACTGTGGATTTCATGCAAGGTTTTGAGGTGAAGGGATACATTTCACTGACCTTCCTTCTAGTGAAGCAGGTGGGAGTTTAACATTCAAGTCCCACAGGCTTTATTAAGGATTGTAATTTAAAAGTGAGAGGCTATCATGGAAAGGAGACAAAGTTAGCCAACTTACTTGCAAGCAATAACGCAAGTCATTTGCCTGTTGCTTTGCTTCCTGCAGGGCCCGTTATCAGTGTTTTCAGCCAAGCAGAGATGGACAGCCCCTCGCACTATTTGTTTCCATTGTGAAGATGGGAAGTTGGGATTCACTCTTAGAGGGGGTGCACCTGTGCAGGTTCATAGTCTTGATCCAATCTGTTCTGCAGCAGTAAGTAGAATATTGCTGTAGTCATATTTTTTTCTCTAGGTTCTTCCCAAGTTTTTATGATTTTTTTCAGTCTAATTAAGATGTAGGCAATAGTAAGGCATTCAGATAATACAGTGTGCTGTTAACAATTTAGTTTTTAAAAAGCTAAATATAGCAAGTGGCTGGAGGGAAAAGTCTTTAAGAGGAGAGAACAGGGAGAAAACACAGTGGGTAGAAAGGAGGATTAGGAAGCAAAGGAGGTGCATGTTGTGGGGAATGGAAATAGACAGTATTGGTGCCTTAAACCTATTCTTCCTTTTTTGTGCGAGGGGGGTGGAGGGAGAGAGAGATGTAAAGATTGTTCTGTGTAGGTTTGCCCCAGTCTACAAGTGGAACTATATCAGAGTGGGAGATTGAATCATGAAGGTTAGATACAAATAACAAATTGAAGAGTAAAATGAAGAAGGTGAGGAAAGAAATACAAAGGTAAAACATTAAGTAGGAAAATGCTAGGGAGGTCAGAGCAAGAAATAGTTTAAAAAAAATTAAAGGGTTTTAGAAAAAATGTAGAAAGAAAAATGGATGAATGGATTACAAAATAAAAGCTGAGAAGATTCAGTATTTATACTGGACTCGCATTAATACATAGGAGCTTACAAAAAAGGGTCCATGTTGCAGTTGTCACTTTTTATTAAGGCTTTTGTGCCATGATATCAAGCTTTATACAGAACTGTAAAGGGAAATACCATTAGATATAAAACACCTGATATAAAAATGGGATTTATATTATTCACAGCTTCAGCTCATGCTACTATGATTTTTTTTTTAAATAGTCTCTCGGTCTGAAAGAAGGAGACTATATTATTTCAGTTGAAGGAATGGATTGCAAATGGCTGGGAGTGAACGAGGTCTTGGAAAAGTTAAAAAGCAAAGGAGAGCAGGACACTGAGATTCAGGTTATAAGCTGCCAGGATACAACAGCTTCTATGGTAAGTAGAAAGATGGCCCCTTTTCAAGTCTGAAATGTATTAAATAAAATGGGGGGAAAAACCCAGTGTCTGCCACTTACTGGAATCTTTCTTAAAAGAATAAGCCACGTCTTAGCATCAAACCCCAAAAACCAGATGTTGAAAGGACTGTACAATGGACGTTTTCTGCCACTTTATTAGCATCTCACTAACTTCAAAATTGGAACTGGACTCCATGTAAAAGCTTTTTTTCCCCCTGTTAGCTATTAAAATTAAGTCCATGTGCACATGTTTACTGCACAGCCAGGCTGTTGTGAAGTGGCTAACATACGTATGATCATGATGCGCACAGACTTTACCACACACTTTACCACCGCTTGTGAGAACTGCTAATTATTAGAAGCAAAAGTGCTCTGCCTGATGCAATTCTAGTAACTGGCAGACACGGTATGTAACATTTGTCCAATCAAGGGCTGAGTCCCTACTGTACTAGTTACTACTCATGCATTTTAACAAAAAATCCTTACCCTGAGATCTTTCAGTCAAAGTAATCCATCTCTTATTACTAATCAGACTGCCTAACTACGAACTCAAAGACAACTGGTGATATAGTAGGTTAAGACACTTACATTTTAATGTTGTCAGTTTCTCAAATATGCAACAAAAAAGTGCAAGCATCAATGATGTTCCTTGTTCATATTTAGATATTGCTCTAATATCTAAAGATGGCTTGTTGGTACAGCTCTTGAGTTGGTGCAGGTCTGGAACCCACAGGGTGAATGACAGTCACCCCTGCCCTCCTTTTTTTCCCTGACCAAAGACCCTGAATTCAATGGTGGGGAAGGAGGTAGAGGGCAAGCAGTGATGGTGTTCATGTAGCTTTGGAGCTGTGCCGTATGGGCAAGCGTACATTTTAGCAGTTATTTGGGGAGCCTGTAGCATACAAGCTCAATTGCCTTAACTTTGACCTTACATGAAATGAAGGCCAAGCTGGAGAAGTTTTACTTAGGGCTACAGAATCATGTAGATTCAACAGCTGCACAGTAGCATCTTGTATGGACATCTTTTTGTTATCTTGCATTCTTATCCTTAGATTTCTGCTCAACCCCCTGGTTTCCAGCATCCTCAACTTTTGTATTAGCTGGTCAAGGGTTAATGGAATAGTTTAATACTGCCAACCAAAGATATATAAATTCAAAGTTACTTAGTTGCTATAGAAGCTTTAGATTATAAAGTAATGATCACAAGATTTAAAAATGTTAAGCTCGAAATAACTCACGAGAAATAATATCTGTAGTGTAATGCGATAAAAGCACCAGTAGTTTAGCCAAATCTAATGCTACATACTTCCTAGGTTTTCTCAACAAACTTCACACAAGCTGACACTCAGTATTGTTGTCTTAACAAATGGCAAAAGCATTTCTGTTGTGCTTTGGCTTTGTAAATTGTTTGCCAGTTTCCTTGGTTTAAGGCCCTTTCTTTTGGTCACACTGAGCACATCTATGAAAAATGATAACTGCACAGTATCCTGATACTACTGTGCAGTAGCATCATGTGGCAAAAAACGTGTTGAGATGCTACCGCGTGGTAGCGTCACTTAAAAGGCGTTCGCCAGTGCTACTGAGCACTAAATACATGCCCAGTAATCATGGTGTAGTAGCATCTCATGAAAATGAGCCCACTTTGATGGAAATATTTTGCTGAAATAAAACCTTCACTTTCCCTTTCCAGCCCTTTGTGGGACAAAAGGCTGGAATCCAGTGTAATCAACTTGGGGTGGGGCAGTGGATAAGTTCTTTAGGGGGATATCTGCATCTTCTGTTGCAGGAAAGCACATCTTTTCCTGTAACACTGGAGCAGGCATGGTTGTAAGTCTGTAACTATACAAACTGGATGCCTGTCCCCTCCATCCCTTCCCCAAAGCACAAATTCCTATAAATATCTTTATGCAAAACCCATTTATTTAAGCTTTGCAGATGAGTTCCAGGACTGCCACTGTGATTCTGAATGACAAAGGAAACTGATTGGCAGAAGGATTCACCTCATTACATATTCTTTTGAATGACTTGCATCCACATAAGCAAAAATGTGAAGAAAAATCAGCACTTTAGCTTGGCTTGCATTCAAGTAGACTGCAGCATTCTTCTTTGTTAATTACGCGGAGTCTTGGAAAACTATTTGCAAGCTTTGTAATCTTTTGTTATCTTCAACATGTCTGACCTCTCATGGATGACTGAGTTTTATAATGCTTCTTCTCCTCCTTCCTTTTCCTACAGCATAATAAGAGTGCGACTTACTCTGTGGGAATGCAAAAAACATACTCCTTGATTTGTTTAGCCATGGAAGAGGATAAAATTGACCACAGCAAGAAGACCACAACTCCCAAAGTCCCTTTTCTAAGTTGGGGAACCAAAAATAGGCAGAAAGCTGCAAGCACTTTGTGCCTTCCCTCAGCAATAGCTGGAAGTTCTCAAACAAAGAAGCTCACTTCTCCCTTTACACTTCTGAACACTGAGAATTTGTTGTACTGATTCTTTCCAAATAAAATTGTTGTCTAAATGTGAAGCTTTCTGAACGCAAAAGAAAGAAAAAAGAAAACCCATCTGTGCAGACCGGAAATGTGAAGTATATACATAAAATGTCCAGACATCAGTTTCTTTAACACCTGTGTTAATCCAGTAAATGTACTGTATATGTACAGGAACATAACTGAAGATCAGAGGTTGGCATGAATTGCAAAAGTATTTTCTTAAAATCCAAACCTACATATAGTGTTTAGACCGAAGGAGAAGTAGTGTGGGAGCTGTTGGGAAATCATTTGTAGAAAAATTTAAATTCACTTTACTTGAAACTTGATTCCTTCGGAATTTCAATATGGGATACATTGCAACTATTTTTGTTTCTATGCAAGCTGTAAGACATATTTATTTCAGTATCTATGTATGTAGTAGTACTGAAAAAAAAATGAAGGATATTTTTAAAGTTTAGGAGTCATAGGAGTCACTAATGATCAATTTAGATTAAAAAATACTAAATTACCTAGAGAACAAACAACAGGATCAGTAAAAGGACAGTTACTGTGCACTTACAATGAAACTTGCCTTCTAAAAACCTGAAAATAAGATCTCCCTATACATCCTATAGCACCACTCAGTTTTGCCCTGTTTGAGAGCTCTGAGAAATAGCACATTTCATCCTAGAAAAAGAAGCATCCTTGCAAAGGCCTTATGTTCATTAGAAATAGACCATGTTCCCAACTTGAAACTATTTAACCTACAAATTACAAGCTTTGTATTTTTGTTGAAATTAATGATAGTTGAGGAACAAATCTCAAAGCTGATTCTCAACATCTAAAACTAAAAATCAGCATAATTCAAGAGATTATTTGCAAGGCACTTTAAAGCTAGAGTAGTTTGAAAATGGCTTTCCAATCAATCAAAAATAAAAGTTTACTGCGTAGGACCCCCTGTGAACTAGATGCTTTATAGACATACAAAAGCAGATAGTAGCTAACAACTCAATAGTAAGCTAGGTGCAATTTGGGAAGACAAAATATGTAATTGTGTGTTAATTTCTCTGTAAGTTTGTTATATTTTCTATCATTTAAAACTGAAAGTTGCTAACACCTGTAGTGTTAGACAAGGATGCTATCTACAGAGTAGATATATGCTGTTTGATACTCAAAACACTATAAATAATAGTGGGGAAATGTGTGTGTGCACATGTTGAAAAATAAACTGGGTACAACTTTTTAAAATTAGCTCACTTATTTTTAGGTTTCTTTGTTTTAAAATAGTTGTAAATATTTTAAATTAACTTATTTAAGCTGCTGCCATTTACTAGTAGCATTTTCATTCTGCTATAGATAGGACGATACAGTATGACTTACTAGTTTGACTGTTGACTATGTTGTGCACATACCGTAAATGTTCTTCACATATGTTTTGTAAAGACCACAACTGAGCTAGCAAACTATGTTATCAAGCAAGTTGTGCAACACTGGAACTTGGCCTGTAAAGTTAACTCCATTGCAAAATAAAGAACTGTTAAAAATTTTACAAGCTCTCTTTGGTCATTTTGTATAGTCCAATTATCTTAAAATGAATAAATTCGATTTATATTTTATGGAATGAATCATTCGTGCATATCCTAAGATGTTTATTTTACCTAAATTAAACAAGATTGCCATCTTGGGCCACTACAGAAAAGCTAGAATTTCCAATGAACTTTGGTGGTAGGTTTTTATACTAGGGACTGCACCTTGGATAGAATACAGAATACTGAAACTCTGACATTCCATGCAACAGACATCAATATTTGTTGCAAACGGATTTTCTAATAAGAACAAGTTACATAGTGATGCATTCTTTACTAAATCTGTAATTGGTTTCCTCTAGCATTTTCATACCCCTCAGCCCAACAAAAGAGAATTAATAAAATAGCAAGTTGTGGGAGGAAAATGGTCTTTACATTTTTTAATCCAAAACATTTTACCGCAAATCAATCAAACAACCAATCATAGACTCCGTTCCTTGCGTACTTCACAAGGAACTCAATTTTTCTGTCAGTTCACAGGACCCTTAATTTGCCTGACAAGAGTTTAACCAAAACTATTAGGATGTACCAGTTTTACAGCAAATGTTTACAAAAGTCTGTACAGCACAAGAAGTTGTGTCCAAGATGCATTTAAAATTGAGCATGGCCTAAAACCCTTACAAATGTCCGCCCACAAGAGACGTCTATGGCTGTTATAAAATCCTTAAAACAGGTTTACAATAGATTAGCAGCTCAGCTCCTAACTTCATTAACACTAATAGTCACTGCTTTAATTACCTACCTTCTTCATCTACTTAATTTACTGAGCAGACGGCCATTTAAAATATTAGAGGTTTGTCCTGCAGCACCAAATAGATAAACAACCAGAAAACACATGTCAAGTCTCACAGTTTTTAAAGCCTATAATCTCCAGTGTGTGTAGGTGAGGAAAGTGGGAACAAGTGGAACTTCACGTAAAATTTAATCAACCAGCCAGCCAGAAGACAGCAATAACTCATGCCACAGTTCCAGGCAACTTGATGTTTGCCATTCAGTAATTTTCATAGTTTCATCGTAGCTAGGGCCAGGAGGGACCTGAACAGATCATCTAGCCTGCCCCCCCTGCCACAGGCAGGAATGAATGCTGGGTTCACAAGACCCCAGACAGGTGATCATCCAACCTCCTCTTGAATTTGCCCAAGGTAGGCGTGAGGACCACTTCCCTGGGAAGTTGGTTCCAGATTTTGGCCACCCTAACTGTAAAATATTGCCTTCTGATCTCTAACCTAAACCTATTCTCCATCAGCTTATTATCATTGTTCCTTGTCACCCCAGGTGGTGCTGGGGAGAAAAGGGCTCTGCCTATTTGCCGTTGATCTCCCCTGATGAGTTTGTAGGCAGCCACCAGGTCCCCCCTCAGCCTCCTCTTGCTGAGGCTGAACAGGTTCAGGTCCCTCAGTCTCTCCTCATAGGGCCTGTCTTGCTGCCCTCTCACCAAGCAGGTGGCCCTCCTCTGAACCCTCTCCAGGCTGGCCACATCCCTTTTGAAGTGCGGCGCCCACTACTGGACATAGTACTCCAACTGTGGCCTAACCAAAGTCGCATAGAGAGGGAGTATCACCTCTCTGGACCGGCTTGAGATGCATCTTTGGATGCATGACAAGGTATGGCTGGCCTTGCTGGCTGCCGTCTGGCATTGGCAGCTCATGTTCATCTTGGAGTCAATAATGACTCCAAGATCCTGTTCTGCCTCTGTGCTTTCAAGAAGGGAACTCCCCAGCCTGTATGTAAGCTGTGGATTCCTCCCAAGGTGCAGCACCCTGCATTTGTCTACGTTGAACCCCATCCTAGTCTCATCTGCCCACTTTTGTAGTCTGTCTAAATTGAGTTGCAGCCTCTCTCTCCCTTCAAGTGTGTCCACCTTGCCCCACATCTTAGTGTCATCAGCAAACTTGGAAGCGTGCTTTCCACCCCCTCGTCCAAGTCGCTGATGAAGGTGTAAAACAGTGCGGGCCCGAGGACTGAGCCCTGGGGTACCCCACTGCTCACATCTCACCAGGTTGAGTACAACCCGTCCACCACTACTCTCTTGGTGCACCCCATCAGCCAATTTTTTACCCATCCAACTGTGCAGCCATCAATGCCACAGTCACTTACTTTATTGATGAGGATGGGGTGAGAGAGAGTGTCAAAGGCCTTCTTAAAGTCTAGAAAGACTACGTCCACAGTGACACCAGCATCCAAGGATTTAGTTACTTGGTTATGAAAGGCAACCAGGTTGCTCAGGCAGGACCTGCCTTGATGAACCCATGCTGATTGCCCCTGAGCATGATCTCCCCTGCAGGCCCCCCACAGATGTGCTCCTTGATGATTCTCTCCAAGATCTTTCTGAGCACCGAGGTGAGGCTTACAGGCCTATAGTTACTTGGGTCCTCCTTCCTCCCTTTCTTGAAAATTGGGACCACATTAGCCAGTTCCCAATCCCCCGGCACCTGGCCAGATGACCACGAATGCTCATACTGCCAGGCCAAGGGCTCCATGATGACCCCTGCCAGCTCCCTCAACACCCTTGGGTGGAGGGCATCTGGACCTGCAGATTTAAAAATGTCTAGCCCTCCCAGAAGATCCTTAACTACATCTGCGCTGACCAAAGGCCTGACAGAGCTATCCCCAAGATTGTCCCTACCTCTGTTAGGTGGGATGTCCCGGTCCCTGTTCAAGAAAACAGGCAAAGAAACTGTTAAAAATATCAGCTTTCTTGTCTGACGTAGCCACAAGATTACCATTTGCATCTTGCAGGGGCCCTACATTGCCTGGTGCCCTCTTCTTGCTCCTAATGTACTTGAAAAAGGACTTTTTGTTGTCCTTAATCCTGGACGCTAGTCTGAGTTCCATCTCTGCCTTGGCCTTCCTAATAGCCCTCCTACACTCCTGGGCCGAGGAGGAGTACTCCTCCTTGGTGATAGCTCCTCCCTTCCACTGGTTTTACACCCCCCTTTTAGTCCTCAGGTATTCCTGTATGCCCTTGCTGAGCCAAGGGGGTTTCTGAGCACTCTTAACCCCCTTGCTTCTCTCACAGACTGTTATCTTTTGGGCCTGGAGGATCGCCCCCTTAAGGTATGACCATCCCTCATGGACTCCCATCTCCTCAACTTTCTGGGCCCTCAGTGCCTCCCCCACTAGTCTCCTAAGCTCATTGAAGTTGACGCTTCTGAAGTCAAGGGCTTTATCCTTAGTGAAAGCCCTTGACACCTACATTGTATAGTGAAATCCAGCAGGTGATGATCGCTATTGCCTAGGTGGTGAAGGACCTGCAGTCTCCTTACCAGGTCATCCCTTGTGGCCCGGACCAGGTCCAGCAAGGCATTACCCCTCGTGGGGCTGTATACTTCCTGGATAAGGTGAAGGTCCTGTAATACAGCCAGGAGCCTACGCGAGCGGTCAGGCCTGGCTGTCTGCTCCTCCCAGCAAATGTCTGGGTAGTTTAGGTCACCCA